CATGCACCCATTTCATTCTGTTGATGATGTCAAAGGCATTTGATTCTTTGTTTTCATACATTATAGTTGCCTCCATACCTTGATACAGTGAGCGAATGATGTTCAACAGTTTGGGGGGACAACGCATTTTCTTCAGAACAGTAATAAGGACCTGTATGTTGACTGTATCAAAGGCCTTCATATTGATGAAGGGTATGTACAGTGGTATTGGTTTTTCTCTATAGTTCTCTTGCAGTTGCTTGACCAAAATCATCGTATCAATGGTAGAGTGTCCTGAGCAAAAACTGCACTGACTTTCAAGAAAATAATCTTTCACCTAGAGATTGCAGCCTAGAGATCATAATGCGAGTGCCAATTTTTCCAATGATGTTCAACAGGGAAAAGCTTCTACAGTTGTTACAGTCACTTCTATCCCCTTTGTTTTTTGTATAATTGTACAAACTGAGTGTCTTTGAAATCTTGCAGTACCACTTCCTCTTTCCAACAGAGCAGTAAAACTTCATGGAGCTTTCAAGGGTGTACTTGGTAGCCGTGTTGGTCTGAGACAAAAAGACATACCAACACGGTATGTTGGTCTCAGACCAACATGGCTACCAAGTACACCCCTGAAACATGGAAGATGCTGAATTTCAGCCGATTTTGGATTTTAAACTTCACTGCAGAACTACAAGGAAGTTTTTTTTACCTCCCTGCCTCCCATCTGACACCTTCACGGCAGGAATTCTACCTGATCAACACATCAAAGAGCTACTCAACACAGCTCACAAAGACACTCTCCTGGACCCAGAGGGACAGACTTCCATCTTCAGCTCTCTCTGTGCAAAAATGAAGTTTATTTCCTACCTATGGGGACTTTTTACCATCTTGTACCATCTACACTTTTCCCAGAGCCTGACGAAAAGACTTTGATCCCAAAAGCTTGCAGAAAAGGACAATTTTCTTAACATTTTCCAGTTGGTCTAATAAAAGGTATCATTTTGGAACCAAGAATTCTAGTTTTTTGTATGGAGCTTTCAAAGTACTTCAACAAATTTGTAGATTTCAGCAGGCAAGCAGTCATTGCCGGATGCCTTGTTCCCAGGGATCAATTTAATGGCTTTCTGCAATTCTAATGTAGACTCATTGTCTAAATCCATCATAACTTAAAACTATGGTGATCCTTTGAGCTCTGTGTGTTTGATTTCAGTCTCCCTGGAATATACAATTCCATAGTGTTCAATCCAACATTCAAGTTGTTTTTGTTTATCAGCAATGACATTTCTGTTTAAGTCTTTCAGCGGAGCTGTTTTCTTCTTGACTGGACCAATTGCTCATTTGATGCTTTTGTACATTCCACAGCTATCACTTGTATCAGCTGCCTTTTTGAACATCACCACAGTTTCAGCCAAAAATCTTGGGTGCACCTCTTGGCTTTTTTTTGCTCTTCTCTTGAGCCTCTCTCAGATTTTCCAGGGTCACGATGCTGGGAGATTTTTTGTAGATGGTTAATGCTGTCCTTTTGTTCTCAACCAGTGGTAGAAGGGTTTCAGAGCACTCTTCAAACCAGACTCCATTTCTCACATTTTTTGCCAAGTATTGTTACAGCAGCATTGTACATGTTAACTTTTAAGCTTTCCCAAGCCTTGGTGGCTGAGTTGTTAGGTAAACTTGCTTTCACAACTTCTTAATTAAATAGTCTGAATCTGTCTTTAGTTTGGCTGAGGTTGATCTGAGGAAGACTGTTAGTTTTGTTATGGTGGATCTTTTTGGCTTTAATTCTGACTTTGCCGCAGACTAAGACATGGTCAGTGTCAAAGTCAGCATTGTGATAATATCTCAAGTGCAGGATTTATTTCAGGTGGTTTCACCTGGTCAGTACAAAATCTAATTGGTGTCAGTGTCCTGATCTTGGATGTTCCCATGATATCTTTCTTGTAAGTTTCCCAGGGAAGTAGGTGTTGGTAACACACAGATTTTGACTCGCACAGAGTTGTACCATTCACTGACCATTTTCATTCATATTACCAATTCCATGTTTACCCAGAACACCAAGCCAGTTCTAAAAACTACATCCAACTCTTGCATTGAAGTCACCAAGTATTATAATGGTCTCATTTCTGTGAGTTTTCCTAATCTCTTCAAGTTGTTGATAGAAAACATTCTTGTCTTCATTTCTATCTTGAAGGGTAGGCACAATGACACTAAACAATGAGATGAAGCCATTTTCTGCATGCACTAAGCATCATGAGTCAACCAGATACAGCAATGGGGCTTTCACAGGAAGTTAAGCTGTTTCTAATTGCAAAGGTCACTCCATGCTCTCTCCTTTCTCCTGCTGGCTCACTATGCCAGCATACAGTGCAGTCATTCTCTTAGGTAGAACCTGTATCTGAGAGCCACGTTTCTGATAAGCAGCAATTTCAATTCCAAGTCTAACCAATTCATAGTTTAGCAGTGCCGTGTTCCATAAATCAGAGTCCAAACAGAATGCAGGGTTCAGAGTCTGAACGTTCCAACAAGCAAGTCATTTTATTTCACTTTGGCCAGGATAGAATAGGTTGGGGCATGGCTTTTTTGGCCCACCTTTCCTAGGACCTTCCTCAATAAGGCTGCTTGTAAACCTTGGTAGATGCCTCAGGTTCTTTACCCCCATTAAAAAGTCATGTGACCTTCACACAAAGACTTTCAACACATACGCCTAATACGGAGGAGGGGAGGCTGCCCTAAATCTACCATCCCCGCTTCAGACCACTGAGACCGAGTCCAAAGGCCAGACCAAGTCCAGAGGTTCAGTGGACTGTAGCTTCTGCCAGAGAGCAACAGATTAGAGGTACTGCTGACTGCCCAATGCCTCAGTGAGGATGTAAGGTTTTTCTATAATGCTTTTGCAAAGAGAGAAATTACAAAGATTTCTGGGGCTTTACCCATCTGTCCTGTGGCATCACAGCTTTACTTTTGAGTGAACAGCTTACCCACAGCAGGTTTCTGAAGGTTTTTGAGGCACGCAGTTTTGTACTCTAAGCTTAATCCTGAAACTATCAGAAATTGATAGGAATTGCAGGTGCTCATCGTCATTCATCTCAATTTCTTCACATCTGATTGTACATTCCACAACGCTATCCATTTTCAATTCAACAGTCTTAGGGTAAGGACAAACACAAATTTTCGCTGCTTTAAAAGGGGAGGGGAACTGCTACTCTGGACCATGCAGCAGCTGTTATGTTGTAACTGTTATCTGCATGATCATATAGCAAAACAAGTCAGCTAAACTGCTTTAACTCAGACCTTAAATAAAGCAAGGTTAACGTTAGAATGGCTCTCCCTGCACGGGTCTCTTTTGATAGTGATACAATTAACATATCTGTCTATACCCTTGGACCAGGGGTGTGAAATCCACTTTGCCTCTCTGGGCAGGATTCAGTAAGCAAGGAACCTTGTAGGCTGGATCTGGATTTACCTCCAGCAGCTGGACAAGCACTGTCAAAGAGACACAGGGGTTAACACAGCTGTTGGTGTCCCCACCACTGCCAAATCACATCCCCCAAGGGTCTTCATAGCCCTGATTTCAGCAGCATGCCTCATCCCCATTCACCCAATTGCCAAATTTCTGGTTCCTCCAGGAGTCTCAAGAGCCTGATTCCACCAACAGGTCCCATTGTTTACATCCCTGCCTTAGCCTATTAGATAACTATTTGTTTCACACTGACATGATTATGTTTATAATGGAAAAATTATAAAAATGGCTTGAGTATTACTCAAGTTTTAATATTTTTCAGGAAATTCAGGATTTCAGAAAAGCAAATACTTTAATATTCCTTTTTGATCTTAAATTGCTAAAGCACACTAACCGGGCGGTACTTGTGCAGAATCATCAATGCCCAGCTGTCCTGTATTCAAGCCAAGTTCACCAAAATATTCTTTCTGGAAAAAAGTACAACTAAAGAATTAAAACACACATCACTAATAAGACATGAGTGATTCCCTTCTTTAAAGGTTTACTGCAAAAAAAATTAAAAATAAACTAAATTCAACATTTTACCATTCCCAATCCAACTACATCTTTAATACATAAAAAAAAAAAAATTGTGTTTTTAAAAGAAAGACAAATGTCTTGGAGTAAATCCTAGTCAAACAAAGAAAAACCTTTTAGGTTATACTCCCTGATTCTCAATTTACATCTGAGCTATACTTTGATGTAGTAGAGAATAGTGTCCCTGAAGAGAGGGTTATGAACCTCTAGTTCATTTCTGCCCCCAATCACAGAGGCAAGTTACTCTATAAGCATCAAGTCTCTCAGGGATCTGATGGCAGTGCTCTACTCCAGCTTAATACTGTTCTGGTCAAACATGCCCCTTTCCTTCCTTCTCTGGTACACATTGTGTCCTTCAAATGCCATAACACATCATCCCAGGGGAGGGATTGCTTACCGAGTTTTCGGTGGAGGGCTGCTTACCGAGTTTTGGCAAGCTGTCAAGGGCCACATGGTAGCCCCAGACCCTGACAGGTGCCCCACCCCCTGGTCGCCATCTTGGGACTGGAAGTCCCAACCCTTAACCCCCAACCTTTGCCACCAGAAGTCCCTCCCCCTGCCCCCAGGAGTACTCCTTTCAGCAAGTGGTTTTGCCATCTCAGAACCAGAAAAATACCAAATAATATTCTTAAAAAAAAATTTTTTTTTTAAATTGAACATCTACAACATTCATTGATTTGATTTCAAAAAATATTTTTGCCCTGATTTACATGCATTTGTGTACTGCACATAGAGGTGATTGCACAATAGCTTAAAATGAAGTCTTACTCTTGTATACTGTGGGGGGATGGGGGGTGGGTGTAGGTTTGTGGGGAACTGGGCATGTGGGGGTGTGGGAACATGTGGGTATATGTTTGGATATGTGGGGTGTGGGTGGGTATGAGGTTTGTGGGAGGTTGTGTGTGAGGGGAGAGTGGCTAGGGTGTGTGAGGGGGTCTGGGACATGTGTATGATGGGGTATGCGTGTGGAACTCACCCTATGAATACACACACACACACACACACACACACACGCACCTCCCACTCCTGGCCCCAGGGTACCAGCGCAGGCCCCATGTTCCTGCAGTTTAGCAATGCAACCAGGGGCCACATGGTGCTGGTGGCCAGCGGGCATGGAGGGAAGCAGTGAAAGCCATGGCAGGGAAAGGCTTCCAGTTGTGGTGTCGGAAGTGAGAGGGGGTTAGGGGTGGGGCAGGGCTGGGCTGGCCTTGTTGCTGGCTCCTGCCAGCTTCCCACTGAGTCCTAATGCCCCTGGCTCCTGTCATCTTTGACAGGCAGCCAGAAGCAGATAAATATTAATTTTCTAAATTTTTTTATCCAAGCTGGATAGAATGCCCTGGCAAGCCGGATTTGGCCCGCAGGCCATATTTCCCCTGCCCCTGCATTATCCTCTACCTCAGGAGTGGGCAAAATGGCAGATCTGACCAGAATGCTGGAGACCCCAGTAGCAGCAGCACCATGACAATATAGGGCCAGGGTTTCCATGGAGACCGGCCCCAGCAACAGGGAGGAAGCAGGGAGCTGCTCCAGGGCTGGGCCTGGGATCTTGCAGTGGTGACAGCTTGGTCTAGAGTTGGGGCAGAACTGCAATCTGCTGCCTGCACACCCCTGCCCGGGGCATGCAGGCAGTGGATTGCAGCTCTGCCCTGGCTCTGGACCACACTGGCACTGTCACAAGATCCCAGCCCTGGACCAGCTACCCATCCAGCTACATGCCCTGCCAGCATTGCTGAGGCCAGTCTCCATGGAAACCCAGGCCCCACACTGTTACAGAGCCACCACTCCTTGGGTCTACATGAAAGTTGGCTGCAGCGACACAGCCAGGGGCTGCTGGGAAATGGAGTCCATCACGGGCTGGACTTTGCCCACCCCTGGCTCTACCACCTTGTGTAGACATGGTAGCAGTTTTCTACTACACACAGAAAATTCTCTACTGGCCATATTTGGGGTCTGCAATGATATTTTTCACCCTGAATACTTGTGTAGCCCAAAGGGGCATCAGAAAATTTGGTTCAAAGTCATCACCACAAAGTGATACCTACTTACAGCACCTCCCAATATAAAGGGAAAGGGACATCCATTGAAGGAGAGTCTTTGTTTCTTTTAAACACAATGTGTTATAAATGCTTGGAAGCAATTAGCACAAGACTTAATTGAGACTAAGACATTAATAAGATCCAAAAAGGATAAATTACTCATGTATATAATCTAAATATTCTCTATATTATTAAGGAAATCGCATCTGAAAAAAAAAATACCAACATCTCCAAGCATAAACCAATCACCAATTGTGCTGGACAGACAAAAATTTCCCCTATAGGCAAATTATTCTATTTTTAATCAGGACTTCTTTTTAATTAAGTAATTCCTTTCATAAGTCTTTTTCAGATCCAGTATTCTATTTACCAAGCTATTTCTTTATTCATCTTTATGTTAAAAATATATTACTTTATTATGATTCCTTCCTATTGTCTATTAGCTTATTGATTAGTCAGTTTAAGAAACTTATTTTATAAAATTGGTACTTACCAGTTCAGGAATATCTTTAACTTTCAAAGGTACTTGAATTAGACCTAGGTGATTTCTAGAACTAGGTTGATCCCCATTTTCATAATTTGGATTGCGGAGGTTCATCAGCACCTTTAAAAATATGAAATTCCTTGTGTATGATACCTAAATTTACAACGTGGCTAAGATAACATCACAAACTGTCCATTAGGTATAAAAGCATCAATGACTATAGTTGCCAGATGTACATTTAAATTTTCAGAATTATTTCTGATAACTTTGTGAGGGTAGTTACAAAAATCATAAAACATCTTGAGTTTCAGAAAACCTTTCACTTCGATTCTCTAGGCCCAAAATTTAGGCAATAGACATCACAAATCATTTTTGCAAATTTAGGTCATACTACATGCACTGATTAACCCTAAGTTCCCTCTCAAAAACTACATGAAAGCCAACAGCACCCTTTTTAGTGCTCTGAATTCAATGTTGAAAGTACAACGTTGAAATTTGTATTTTTATACCTAGGGTTGCATAAATTCCAAAACTGCACTGCTAACACATCTGCCACTTGCCAAAAAACTATGCCACAGTGCCTGTATTTTCTTGCATACCACACGCCCCCAGTAAGACGTGCACCTTGTTTTTGAAAGACAATGCAAAGAAAAATAAGATTTTTCCCAAAGTCACGACCTAGAGATTTTTTTTTTTTTCATGGGGAGGCTTGTTGCCCAAAAACTGCCAGCCTCTCTCAGCAAACAAGCTGAGAACAACTGTGGAAGGGTGGACTAGCAGTGGACTCTACCCCTCCTCCTTGCTTGTTGAGAAAGAAGCTGACAGCCATTTTGTAACAGTGTCTTCATGCTTCTAATCCAGGAAAAAACCCAATCAGCTTGAGACCTGAAAAAATTGAGATTTCTAGAAAAAAGGTGTGTGTTTTGTGAATAAACACAGTACCTTTCCTTTCAATTAAAAATAAAATTAAAAAAAATTAAAAAAAAAAAACTCCCCACAAAAAACCCTCTACACACATTTATAGACCTTATAGCCATGATTCTAATACTGAAAATAAAAACAAGAGCAAACCAGAAAGCATTAGAACCATAGCTTTAGGAACAATTTTATACATCCCTTGCATTTTTGAATGGCCATATATTTTGGTATTTTAATGGCCAACTGTCAAGGAGCCCTTGGATCTTACCAAGATCTTTCATGAATTCACTTGACTTGAATAAGAACATATATGAATTTTAAAAAGACAAATAAATAAGGTTCAAGTCCTAGGGAGATTTCTTCAAAACTTCCCAACATCCACATAATTTAAGCAAATAACATAAATATATGTGAACAGTTCTTGACTCCCATGGGACTAGTCACTTTGCCAGACTCTAAGTTAAAATGTTTAGCATGGGAAATGACAAAGACCGTGGGAAATGGGAGACACAAGAGAACAAGAGAAGCCAAGAAGAAAGTAAACACAATTTCAGTGCTTATTTTATAAGGTTAAAATGCAAGTCAGATTTACTTGGTCTAAACTGCATATAAATAGTATGTTTATAGTGTAATACTTTGAACAATTATGGCATCTAGAATCATTAAAATTTTAAAAAAATACAGTTTGTATAATCAGTTATATGAACAAGAGAAGCTGGGTTGTGTGTTTAATTAATCTCATATATACAAATTAGAATACTTCACTTTTAATTTCACAGCATGCAGTTATGATTTGAAAACCTAAATAGTTCCCATCCATTCAAGGAAAAGTTACATATCTTACATAGGACTATAAAATGACTTCTTTTCAATAAATTCATATTGAATGAGGTCAAAATACTGAATTTACTAATTGTAATTTGTGTGTCATTAGACTTGTCATTTGGAATTAGACTAGACTAATTCTACAGTCCTGCACTGTCAAAAGATGAAGCAAGCCTTTCTAGAACCAAAAGACAGAGTATTACACAGAAACTGTTTTTTTTGTTATATCATTAACAAATCACCAGCAATTTGCATTTCACAACAGACTGTGGATTATACCTGGAGTTCCATTTTTGGTTACACTAAGGCATTCAATATTGTGAACCATTCAAAACAACAACAAAACCCTGGCCTCAAAGACTCAGTAGTATTTTTATTTTTACTTTCAGCTTTGTTGTTTTAGTCATATAAAAAAGGCTTAAATATTTCCAGCCATTAGGGGATAACCTGTGTTCCTTTTTTGGCTCTATATAAATTTCTTTATTATAACTTGGAGACACCTGAAATTACATCTCACCCTAGACAGCATCCAATCCTTGATTAGTAAAAGCTAACATCACATTTTGAGCTGACATTTTTCTAAACATAGAACTCTTTTTGTTCAAAAGGAACTTTATAGACTTCAAAGGTTAGGAACATTCAATAAATAACAGGAGGTTAAATTTAATACAGTTAAAAGTTTATTCTTACCAGTTCATTAGTTTAGACATTTACTTAAGGATTTGGGAAATTTATCCAAAAGGGACTATCTATTCTTTTAAAGAAAGTTCTTTATGTCATCCCTTAATAGTCAACAATTTCTGCTAAGCCAGGATACAGACAAATGCACCTTTTAACCACCTTAAAATGGGAGGGGAAGCTACAGCTTGGGAATGAACATCAGTTGTATCAAACTGTTCTGTCTGCACAGTTCTGTAGTTATGTATAAATTGGCTAAAACACCCTAACATTGACCTTGAACGTAACAGGGTTCAAGCTGTAGCTGTACTACAGCTTGCATTACAACATCTTATTCTACTATCTTTTGATACCAATACATTTGATACAGCTATCTATAGCAGGAGCTGGCAACATATAGCTCACAAACTGGATCCAGCCCATGGAGCTGAAGGGCTTTGCCAGGGTCAGGCAGTGAGGATCTGTGCTGGGGCTGGGTAGCTTCCAGCTGCGCCCATGCTGCTACCACTTCTTCCCTCCCAGTTTTGGTCCAATGCAGGCTGGGTTGTTTCAGCCGTGTAGCAGCGCCAGAGAGTTTTGCCTGTACCCGGGCTGAAGACAAACTGCTAGGAGCTGTGCCAGCACTGCCAACACTTCCCCCGACTCCCATTCCTCATCATGGGATTAGCTTCTAGCCTGTGGGGAGCTGCACCAGGGCCAGGCAGGTTTGAGCAGTGCTGGTCAACTGGTGTGTGTATGCAGGAGCAGGGAGATGCAGTGGCAACCCCCCATGAGAGACAGGGAACCAGGGGCTGAGAGAAACAGTAGTGGTGGAGGCACAGCTCTGATGCCTATCCCCAAAATAAGCACAGGGAAAGTTCCCCATTGCTGATGCACCAATGCCAGCCAAGCCCACCGGAGCTGGACTGTTCTGGTATGAAGCTTGTAAAAGGTTGATGAACCCTGGTCTACACTCTTGCTTTATCCTTTTTCAAAAAACCTTAATTTGCATTTGTGACGGGATGGGCCCTGCAGTGGCCATGGTGCTACCTAGGGGCTACCCTAATCTTGCCTGCACTCCTGGTAGTCTGTATAACTTACCCAATTTATCTTTCCTGCCATGCCTCGATGCTCTTTTGATATTGATTGGGAAGCTGCCCGAGTCCCGAGTGCTCTCCAGTGTCTAACCAACCAAACTGACCTCTCGTGGCCTCTATGCCCTCTGCCCACTAATCAAAACTCCACAGTTCTCTGCGGTTGTTTCTTGTGCCCCGACAGATTTACCAGTGGTGTCCAGCTGGCACTACTTGGAGCCACTGGTCACCCCCTGTGGCTCTACTGGACCTAATTAAGCCTTAGAGTTCTTAATCATGACCTCCAACCTCTCCCAGTCACATCTATGTCTCTTCCCCAACCTGTACAGGCTTCAACCCCCTTGGCCTTAGCCCACTGGTTGCTCTGGCTGTATACTTCTAGTCTAGGCCCACTTCCTCTGGTCCAGCTTCTGAGTCTCAACCTCTCCTCTGCTGTGCCTCTCAGAGCACAGGCTCCAGCCCTCTTGGCTCAGCCTGCCCCATCTCTCGCTCTTGGGGCACAGGCTCTGGCACTCTCAGCTCTACCCTGCCCCTGTCGCACTCACGCTCTCCCTCACTCTTTTCAGGGCTTCAAACCCTGGCATCCCAGGTAACTTGGTACATGGCCTCCAATCCTCCCCTGAAGTCATAACCTGGTTCTCTATTTTAAAATTAAAACAGAAATAAAAACCATCATTTCAAACTAAAAGACTCAAAGCCCTCCTGGGGGTCACCATACAGCTACCAATGACCTGTCCCCACTCACTGGCTCTCTTAGCCCTTGGGAGTATCTGACCTGGCCAGCAGCTTCTGCTCCTTGCTGGTCGAGGCTGCCAGGAGCTCTTCTGGCAAAGTTCAGGGCTGGCAGAGTTCAGGGCAGTACTGCCCTCTGCCTCAGGAATCCAGACTTGTATCCCTTGGACAACACCTATCAGTCAGGTGTTTCCCTGAGCAGCCACAGGTGTATCCCCTTGACTTAATGAGCAGTTTACTGCTGTTTCTCAGGCTAAGCTGCAGCTATTCCCCTTCTCCCTACCTGGGGCTCTGCCCTACTGTTATATTGCTAGGCAGCTAGCTACACAATAAGTGCTTACAGCAGGGGTGGGCAAGATACATCCCACAGCCCAGATCCAACCCACGGAGGGACTCTGTCCAGCCTGCAGCAGGTCCCTCAGTTCTGCTTGACCCAGCCACTGTCCAGCCCACGGCATGTCCCACCACTCCCTGGGCACACAGCAGGGCTGGGGTGGCTCTGAAGCTGGACTGCCTTTCTAGACAGCCCAAGCACTAGTGGCTCCTTCTAGCTGCCACTGCCTCCAGCCCTGTGGTACTGGCAGGGAACCACAAATGCAACTCCAAACCTGCCTCACCCCGCACCTACTCCAGACTTGCCCTCCTACACTGAAAAGCAGAGGTGGCATGGGAGAAAAGCAGCCCCTCCCCTTTGTCACTGCCAAGCCCTTCTTGCAGCAGCCACCTGAAGCCTGGGCTGCCCTGCAGCTCCTCTGCACTGCCACCGCTGCCCCACTGGGTGGCCTGGAGGTGGTGGTAATGGCAGTGGAGAGGAGCTACAGGGAAGCCCAAGCACAGGTTCTGGGCAGCTGCAGCAAGAACAGCCTGGCAGTGGTGAGGGAGGAGGGGCCACTTTTCCCCCATGCCCAGCAGCAGCTTCTGCCTGGCTACTGCCACTGCTCAGTGTAGGCAGGTGGTCTGGAGCAGGCGCAGGACAAGCCAGACTGGAGATATGTGCACAAGTTCTGGCTGGTCCTCTCTGGTCGAGGTAAGTCTGAAGTGGGTGTGCGCCACGGTCAGGGCTGGGGCACTGCGCTGTTGCTGGTGGTGGGGAGGAGCTGCAGGGTGCATGGGCTCCGGGCTATTGCAGGAGGAAGGGGGTACTGACCGGCCTGTGACAGCTCCCCAGAACTGCCTATGCGGTCCATGGGTCCAAATAATTGCCCACACCTGGCTTACCCCTGGCTTCTCCTGCAGCTATCCAAAGTTCAGCTGCCTTCAACCACCTGGACAGGCAATTATTTGCGCCTGCAGGCCACGCAGATAGTTCTGGGGAGCAAGTTTCCCTCCTAAAGTAACAGAAGCCTCTAGCTCCCTGTTACAGTGTTTCAATCAGTTGAAGACTTGCCATTCATACTTCTTACTTCACATAACTGGAGATAATGAATGCAATGAATAGTCAGTTAATTGTTGCATGAGCGCTTACCTCAAGAAAATCTTTAGGTGCGTATACTGGTCGGAAAAGACTTAGATCTGAAATTAACAAGATGACAATTTAAATTAAAATTGTTTAAAGTTTGACTATACATATTACTTTTTTCCAATTATGATGTAATGCAGGGGTGGGCAAAATGTGGCCCGCGAGCCAGATGCAGCCCACCAAGCCATTATATCTGACACACGGGGCCCCTAAAAAATTTAGAAAATTAATATTTATCTGCCCCTGGCTGCCTGTCATGCGGCCCTCAATGTACATGACAATTGTCACAACCCAAAGTTGTGGTTTTTCTTGTTTGTGTGTGCTTCAGCATCGCTAAATCATGTTCCCGCCAAATTGCAGCTCTTTTGCACGGTGGAGTGTTCTGCTGCAACAGAGAACCCGCGTGCAGGAGCTTTTCCCGCCAGTTCTAGCTATTGGCTTCCTAGCCGTACAAAAGGCTTGGGTGGTTTCCGCCCAAATCGGAGAGAGAAAAAGAAAGCACATGGAGTTCGGGAAAGGAGCGTGAGGATCTCCAAGCGCTGCTGATCCATACAAACCCAGCTTTTTCCTTAAGAAGGCAACAGAGGTTTAATTTATCGAACCCACGGAGCTTCAACAACTCCGCGGGACTTATTTACCATCCCCTCGGAGCCTTAACGACTCCGAGGCAACTAACCTCTAGCCTCTCCCCGTCGCCGATCGCAACCCAGACGTATCCCTATCCTAAGGGCCCAACTGTCGAGCCCACGGAGTTTAACAGCTCCGGGGGACCTGGGAACCGAGTAACACTCACGGAGATACAGCTGCTCCGTGGGAACGAATTCTTGAACCCCGCGGAGCCTGAATCACTCTGGGGTCAAGGAACCGAGTGTATTAGAGTCCTCCACCGAGAACTCAAGCGGAGCTGAGCCTGGAAAGCTGACCAGCCTACACCGCGACCACCTTGGGTGTAAGTAAATAATCTTTTCAATCAACCACTATGCCTCCATGACTGATTCTAGCTAGAGCGTGTCATACCGCACCGCGGTCTTTTCCAACCCTGTGTACCCGGGCTACCAGCCACAGCCTGTGTACACACAAAGACGGGTCCCCGGCTCGCCCCGGCTCGCACATGGCGACCCAAATGGGATCGGGAGAGAGCTCGCACATGGCGACCCAGGCGAGATCGGAAGTCGGCCCGCACAACGATGACATATTTATTGGCAGTAATATTTTAAAAATTCACATCAATATAACAGAATTATTACCCGATGTCATGCATAGCAATCAGATTTCTAAATTATTTGATAAAAATGCTATCTTCTCATCAAACAATTATTAAAAGACAAACTGGTACAGTCATCAACACTGATATTTTATTTTAAGAGTTTGGATAACATTGTACTATACTTTTAACAGATTTAACATACCTTACTTTTAACGTACTTAAAGTACAGCACTGTAAAACAGATTCCCAGTGATTGTGAAGTAAAGATTCACCATCCCTTTACTTTCTGAGTAGCGCAGTAAGTTACTGTGCCAGGAAATTGCAGTTCAGATCATAAAAATGCTTTAAAGTCACTATTCATCTTATACAAAAAATGGAGAGCACATATATTTAGGATTTGTTGTTTGCTTCAAGTCCTGTTTGGTCCTAAAAGAATCACTTACTAGCAAACCATGAAATTGTCATTCTTATTTAGTAATTAGCTGTCCCTTTTTGCAGTTAAGAAAATACATTATGAGAAAAGAATTGTTTAACATACACACAAAAGTAATATAACTTGGAATAACTTTCAACTTGAAATTGAAACAACACTCAATAAGTGCCCAACTCCCATTATTAATTTAACTATCAGCATAAACCTCTCAAATACTAGTGTCAAACAAAAAATCATAGGCTGGAGATGTATATTCATATAAAAAAGCTCAATAATTCTTCAAATAAACCAATAATGCAGTGAACACATATTTGTGAATTACTGAAATTGAAGGTTAGAAAAAGACAAGTATTAATTTCCTTTAAAATAGACATTACTATAATCTCTGACTGTTAATTATGGAGCTAGATATGTAATTGTTTTGTTAACATGCAAAAATGCACATAAAGTTAATATAATGTACCTGGCTCATCAGTTCCCATTTCATTCCATTTATTAAGAAGTTCTTTTTGCTCACTTATGGGTCGCTGTAAGTCATAAGAACATAAAATGGCAATATGAATTAACCAAAAATCTGAAATATGCCAGGTCAAACTTGAATGAAAAACAAACATGCATTAGAGACCTTTTTATTTCTCAGTTTGTAAGTTCACACTGGCCTGAGGATTTATTCTCTCTACTACCACAACTACAACCAAGGCATAGATGAAATCCCCAACAATGGCCATGGAGTAATTCTATGTGCAGGCACTCTGCAGCTATGCAGTATCTTAGGGTTCTTTGGCTGTCAGTTCCTTGTGTTGAGGATTTACTGACCACTCCTTTGAACTTCTCCGCCCAAATACCAGAGTTCTGGCAGCATGTAGAAAGAATCTGAAGTGTTAGCTCAGTTTGCACATACAGAATAATGCAGAAATATACCTATTCCTCCCCACAACCTTCTCTATTGTCTTGTACAATGAACCACAGCAGTTCTGCTACTCATAAGGACTTCCAGGGGAGAAAGGAAGAGATTATTTTCCCCATAACACATATGCGCCTATTTTAGTGTATTTAGATATAAAATCTCTGTAAATGCATACAAAAAAACAAAACAATGAAACATAAATAACAAAGGGATACCATAAATAAATTTATATCTAGCCTTTTGCTCCTGGGTTGCCCAATTAACTCTGGCCCTCATCGGCCATGACAGGATGCCATGGTTATCTACCAGTTCTCAATGATCTATGCCAAATGAGTCACAATCTTTGTACATCATGAAAAACAAGATTTGGTTTACTAACCTTAATTTGTACTTTTTATCAATCTGTTGAAGACTTACCATTGATAGTCCCTGCTTTGTACAGCTAACTATAATGAATGCAGGTCAAATACCAAAGGAGAAAGATGAACCTAGAACTTTATGTTGGTGCTGGCACCTTCAGAGCATAGCTGAAATATATGGATGAAGACAAATCTCAACTCTACCTGTGTAATCTGCTTTCCCCTAGAAGATACTATGATCCATCTTGCAAATCCTGTTATCCATGGGACATAGTTAGATGTGCAAAGGTAAGCGTATGAAAAATAATCAGGAAACTACGTTTCCAAATATAACAAGATGAAACTTTTCACAAATAGTAAATTCACATTAAAAAAAGAAGTTCAAGACACAGTACCTTCCGTGCTAATGGGATACTGAGTTCTGTGCACATGCTATTCAGGCTCTTCAGAATTCGCTTCTCCCAGCTTCCCTGAAAGAGATGACCACTTAAATCAAACACAAAACAGCTCCTTCCCCCTAACCAATTTCTATTTTAAACATATAACAGCCTAATCAAACACTTTATTAAGGCACTTGTATAAATATGACTAAAATACTTTATATCTGCCAAAAAGTTCTGCAGGTTTGCACAATTATTTACATGGTTTGTGAACACAGTAGATCTTTCCATTATACAATGTGAAACTTCTCTAAACAGTAAAGTAACAACGTACCAAAAAATTAGGTTGTTTATCATAAGTCCTCCAAAAAGTACTTCACAGATACTTCTATGCAGCCTTTTTCCTACTGATACCTCATTACTTTTTTCAGAAATACTGCTCTCTCTCAGAGAAGTGAACTGTATAAATAAATGTCTCAATTCAGCCTTTGTGATACATACAGACTGCAAGAAAATCTCCCTTCTCTAACAATATTTCAGGAAACTCCAATTCTTAAAGACTAAGCAGCTCTAGGGATTTGGCAGTATTGGATCTAAAGTACTGCTCAGAAAAGTTTTTATATGAGCGATAAAAATAAAAGTAGACAGTACCCTCAATAAAGAAGAGAACAAGAAGAGCAATCAAATTTCTGTAACAAATATAAGAGACTTTCAATTTTTTATGATAAATTATTTCCCAACCGTGGATCTGGTCCAACTAAAGTTAATGAAGTTGTGCCAATATACATCATCTGGGACTCTAGCCTACAATCCTATGGAAACTTATTTTCTCTCATTTCTCTTTCCTGTTATATTTTTTATGTACTGTTAGCCATTTGGGGTCCATACAAACTTACCTGGGTCACCTCCCTGTCTGCCCAAACTAGGCTGGCCATACCCATCCAAGTCCTAATTGCCTCAGGTCACCTTCCTGCCAGCCCAAACTGGCCTGGACATATCCACACAAGCCCTGGACTGCCCCAGGTCTGAACCAGTCTGTCATCCTCCTCCCCCAACACAAAACACTGCAACCAGTTCAAGCAAAAGCAGAGCTTTGCTTAGACCTGGTCACATCAGTAATGGTACAGGGGAGTCTTTGGATATGGGTATGAGTCTTGGGGGGGTCTAGGTATCTTTGAGAGTTAGTCTTTAGGTTTGCAGTTCTGGGTCATGTGAAGGGAATACAGCTGCTTCTACTCCACTGCATCTCCCTGCAGCTCTGGAGCACAGCATGGGACTGGAGAAAAGGACTGGGCCCCTGACTTAGTCCCAAAGCAGTCAGGGGGAGGGGTTTGCCAGGTCCTCATCTGGAGCGGTGGAGTGCACCCTGAGCCATACACTGTCTCCATGGAGGAAGGGAAGGGGAGGGGGGAAAAGGAGACAGTTAAGCAATGCATGCTGGGAAGCCAGATGGTGACACAGCTGCTCCTATCAGTAGATTCAGTGTACAAGCATTTGTTTCCCCAGTAAAAACACTACAGTGGGCTGCTTCTACCTTACTGTAGATAGCAGATTTTTCTACTATGTGCGCTATTGTTGGTCCAGTAGAAGCTGTGTAAATGTTCCTACACCTCGGGTTTCTACCAAAGAAACTACGATTTTATCAATAGAATTGCAATGCTTGTAAGCACCCATAGTCTTGATAATTTTATGGGAGAAACTTCACCAATAGTTTTAATGTTCTCTACATTGTCTTGGAAGTCTATTCAAACCCCATCCAATGAATGAAAAGATTCCTACAGACTTCCTTAGGCTTTAGCTGAAGCCCCTTACTTCAATTTTGAATACAGTTCATATTTTTATTATTTGTATGCTCTAACCTCCACTGTGAGCTAGCTGTTGTCCATGATCTTAAAAACAAAGAAAAGCTTCTGATGAAAACTACTGCAATTTAAGCTGCTGAACAATGGATAAAGGGTGGGAGAACTGAATAACACTGATATAATCAACTTTGTTTTTGTTTTAAATCTACACTCCAGCTTGCATTCATTAGCTAGTTTCTTGTAGGCATATGCTGTTATATAATTGATTCCCTTATACAGTAACAAACTACTCCAAGCACTGGAAAAAACACATTCATAAAGAATAAGATACCTCTCTCATAAGTCAAGTCACAAATTCATAGACTCATAGCCATAAAGGTTAATTATAATCATCAAGTCTGACTTCCCATCTAGTGAAGGTCATAAACCTTCAGCAGTTTCTGTATCAAGCCTATAACTTCCATCTGAGCTATTGATCTCATTTAGAAAGACACCTAGTCTTGATTTTAAAACATCAAGTTTAGATAAACAACCACATGCCTTGGAAATGTTTTGTCCAATGGTTATGACCCTCAATGATAAAATGTGTACCTTATTTCCAGATTTGAATTTGACAAACTTCTTTCCAACTATCAGTTCTCTTTATGACTTTTTCTGCTAGATTACAAATCCACTCTTAGAAATCTCTTCACCACAGGGACTTACAGACTACAATCCGGTTACCTCTTCATCTTCACTTGAATAGACCAAACCAATAGAGGCCGTGGACAGGTGTTACATTTGTACTAGAAGAAAAGCCTTTCCCTACAGCCTTTCAAGAGATTTTTTGCAGAGAAGATCTCCTTCCACACAGGAAGTGTCACATGCCAGAAGCACAGAATGCGCTAAGTTTATTGTGGCAGACATTATGTTAGCCAACATTACTGACTGAACCAACTACCTCTGAAGCTAACACTGCTGAAGCTACAGCTTGAGCTCAGTTAGAAACCCTCAGTACAGACTAACACTAGTTTATATCCTACATAGATCAGGCACAAAGGCAACACATACAGGACTGACCAACAGGGCTTCCTACAACTGGAACAATGAAATGGGGGCCAAATCATGCAGTGCAAGGACTCTGATTTGAAACAAGTTCCTTAAGGTTTTGACTACTTCAGGTAATTTAAAAAAAGCTTAAAAACAAAGTCCTTTAAGGATAATAGTTTTATAAAACCCTAAAAAAGTAACCTTTCTGAATTATTAATAAAGCACATAACATTAAGTCATTTGTAACGATGGCCCAAAAATCAGAAGAGCGAACCTATAAAATACAGCTCTTGCATTTGTACATAAGAGCTTCTGTTTCCTTCTGTGCTACTGTAGAGGAGAATGAAAGTCATCCCCTAAAGCTGAGGAGGAATATGAAGAATACAGATGGCTCTGGACAATTTTAGGAGTAAAATCTCTAGTTTATAGTCTGCATTATACCATATTTACTTGAATAAAGCCAATCCATATACCATGGAGAGAAAATCCCCTTATCTTGGATTTGAGTACAAGCTGGCAGAGGGCCATGTGGCTGCACCCTCATCTGCCTGCCCCACCAGACCCTCTCCCTCCCCAGTCATTTACCCTCCAGCTCCAGCCTAGGGCACAGAGCATGTGGTGACTCCAGTCCAGTAACAGCTGTTGCAGTGACAGCAACTCAGGCCAAAGCCTGCAACTTTGCTGCAGGCACTGGCACTACCATTTTGGAGTCCTACCAGAGCCAGAGCTGGAGAGTAAGAGGTAGGAGCAGCAGCTGCAGGGAAAGGGGGAAAAATGGGAGAGGAGAGTTGACAAGTGGGTGCAGAGGCAGGAGGGAGGGGCAAACAAAAAGGCTGTTCTGGGACCAAGCCATGTGCACCCAGGGAGGCACACACACCCATATCTGCGTGCGGGGTGGGCTGGGGCCGGGCCGGTGCCGGGCTCTTCCCAGCAGGGACTGGGCCAGGCCCCAGCGATGGCACTGGGAGAGAGTTACAGGAGGGTTGCAACCCATCCAGAATTCGCTGTAGCCCTCCTACCGCCCTTCCAGTACTGCTGCCACTTGCCCCGAGCACAGCATGGCCCAGCCCCACCCTCTGGGAACAGCCCAGTGCAGCCCCAGCTCACCCTACATGCAGATCTGGGCGCGTGTGCCCTCATGCCCTCCCAGGTGTGCACATAGCAGCAGCACTGGGAAGGGGGGCCAAACTGAGGGAGAGCTTGCACATGGCAGCTGGCACTGCCACCGGCTATTGGCTGAGGGCAGCAGCCCAGCAGCCAATCAGGAGAGTGAGCTGGAGTGGAGGGCAGGGAAGTGCCATAATGTGCCGCGTGGGGCTGGCAGGACCCAGCGCGCGCCTCCCCCGGGTAAGAGGCGAATGTGCCAGGGGAAATGCCTCCTCGCCTCAGGGTGTGCTCCATCTCCGCCCGCCTGCGCATACCCCTGAAGACCTTTCTAAACACCCCTGGGGATATGTGTACCCCCAGTTGACAACCCCTGACCTAGTACATTGGGAACCTGGTCTGAATTCAGATTAATCAGCAAGGAGACAGGGTAATTAGTAAAAATCTAATCCACTTTTCCAATCAAATCTGGTGTTTAAGTATTGACTGATTTAAAATTGAGAGACATGAGAAGAAAGAAAAAAGTGTGAATTGAAAGACATGAGAATAACAAAGAAGGACCTATGCAGCTATAAACTAAAAGGAATAAGATGGCCCACAAGACAAACTGCAGTTAAACATTCCTTTCCTTTAGATGAAAAAGTGCCATTATTGAAAGCAAATTAAAAAATAATTCTAGGAAAGGCACAACAGTACAAAAAAAATATTTTAGAAAGCTGGGTGCTCTTAACCATGAACACAAGGTGCTCTTAGATAGCAAGGTGCTTTTAACCATGAACAATGTGTGTCCCGGGAGCTGGAGGGGGCACGGTGGCAGCAGGAGCACAGCAGCAGCGGTGTGGGCCCGGCAGTGGTAAGTGCTCCCACAGATGCCGCCAGCGCGGTTGGCGGTGGGGGGGGTGGAGGGGTGACGAATGCCAACCAGGGATCGGCAATCACCCACAGATGCCGCCAGCAGCATTGGCGGCGTCCAGCAGGGATTGTGGACCACCCGCAGATGCCACTGGCGGTGTCGGAGACAGGGTGGTGAGTGGCGACCGCCTTTTTGTAGGGGGTGCTCTGCCACGCTCAGGGGATGCACATACACCCATGTGCACCCCCTATGCATCACACCTGCTCTTAAAAGCTACCCAGGAAGGATCTCAAGCAGTAACA